AGGCAGGGAGAGAAAAAACGCATCTTCTTCTTGAGGAGGTCTTTACTGCTTTCCTAAATGGCCACTGAAACTTCCGAAACGAAACGGTCGGCACCTGTAGCTGTAGGGGCGAAACGGAAAGAGAGGGTAGCCGACTAGTCCATGCACTAGGAAGGAACGGACCCACCAGCCAAGGCAAAATCGTGTCGCGGCCATGCGCTACTCTAGTCTCTATGCAGCCAGCCATTGGGTCCAACAGCGACACGTGAGATCTTCCTTTGCCTCGGCAGCGACTGACATGTGGGGCTGCGGGCTTTGCAGGTTGTATACACAGTAAGTATATTATTTTGGCGCACGCGAACGCGTTAATGGAAGGGGCGCACTGCACTGCCGTCATCTTCGGACTTTTTCACTGTTCTGACCCTTTCAACAAACTTTGTCATAAAATGAACTCGACGTTTCTATGATGGGCAGCAACGCTAGCGCCTTTGGCGTTTCTTACCTGGTCCGCAACGCTAGCCGCCTCGGCGTTTCTTCTTGGTTAGAAACGCTAGCTACCTCGGCGTTTCTATGTTGGGCAGAAACGCCGCGGGCTGTGGCGTTGCTAAAAGGGTCAGATCGTGAAATACTTTTACGTCGAGTTCATTTTGTGACAAAGTTCGTTGAAAGGGTCAGAATAGTGATTTTGTCCGTCATCTTCTCCGGTCGTGTTGAGACCGGGACCTTCCCCTTCCATCACCAAGGCCGTCGGCCCCGCATGTGCCTGCGCGGAATTAAAATCGGGAACTGTGCTGCTGCAGATCTCGGAGCGCCCTGGCTGGCGGGTAAATAAATTGGGAGCGGCGCTGTTGCTTGTGGCGCAGGGAACAGAGAGGGTGCTCCTCCTCCTCCTCCTCCTCCTCCTCCGCCGCCGCTCAATGGCGCAACAGTGCCGCTCCGCCCCACCGTGGACCATCCATCGCGTCGCATTTGGATGGATGGGGCATTCCGGCGCGGAGTGGGGTTCGGTTTCGGCAGGCGAGGCGGGCACCTTCTTTTCTTGGCCTTTCCTTCCTTCAACCGCCCGAGCCAAGCATGAATCAAGCCGGCACGCTTCATCGTCATCGGGTAAACAAGTGCGGCCACGAAATCAGCGCCGGAACCAACCAGCACCAACGAAACCATGTGACCGCCTAACCAGGCCGTTGGGACACGCAAGATTCATGTGCACTTGCAACACAATAAATTAAATCAGCATCTAGGCACCGCTCAAAAAAAATAAAATTCTAGGCAAAGTACGATACTCCATATGTTCTTGTCCTGCTCCCCGATCCAATCATCCATCGCTCCATCTACCATAATCATTGACCCTCGAGCGCTGACAGTAATTTGTCTTTTCTACTCGTGTACAACCAGATGCACCTTCTCATCTGTATATAGACTGGTTTCTGTATTCCTCAACGAAGTGGAGTTTCTCGATCCGAGCTCAAATGAGCTGAGTGAACAGTAAAGCCATTCAAAAAATCTGAATTATTTTGTGACAAACATTGAAAAATGTTCTAAGAGCCTGCAAAATTTCATAATAAAATCGTATTCCTGAAAGGCATGGCAAAAAAAAAAACCGTTACTATGAAAATGCTACTTTCGAAAGCATTTTGAAGCACTTTTTTTTGCCACGACTTCCACAAATGTGATTTCATGATGAAATTTTTTCAGTTCTTAAAAAATTTGTCAATGTTTATCACAAAAAAATCAGATTTTTTTGAAATATTTATATTTTACTATTCACCCAAGCTCATTTGAGCTCGGGCTGAGAAGGTGACTTTCCCCAGAACAAGCACTACGTATGTCCTTTCAGATTAGCTTCATTTGCATCGATTGTGCTTTCTTTTCGGCAATGCTAAAAATCCGATGTCGGATTTTAAGCATGCCAAATTTGAATGTTTTTTGGATGGCAAATTATGTGTCGAGCATGAAAATTCTCTTCATCAAACATGGCAAATCCTAGCAAAAAGGACTGAACATAAGAATTTTGCCATGCTTGCTGAAGGAAATTGCTTGGCTCGTGACACGTAAATTGCCATAAAAAATATTCGATTGCCATTTTAAAAAATCTAAAATCAGATTTCTAGCAAGGTCATTTCTTTTCTACTTCACACATATACTCCCTCTGTTGTCTTTTAAGAGATTTCAGTGTGAACTACATACGAATGTATATAGACGTATTTTATAGTGTAGATTCACTCATTTTCCTCCGTATGTAGTTTATATTAAAATCTCTAAAAAAACATATATTTTGAAATGGACGGAGTACATATTAAATATATTCTACTGAAATCACAGCGCCTTGCTGCAATGCATGTGCAAGCCTTGATCAGGAATCCTTCTAAGAAAGGTAGAGATAGTATAATAACAAGCAAGTGTAGCCCTAAAAGAAATCAAGTATAAGCCATGATCTAGAAATAGTACTATAATTTATACATGAAAGAACCTTTTAGTATGTATTTTCTCTGTCAAAAAAATTTGTCCCAAGCTTGTTCCTCAAATGGATGTATCTAGCACTAACTTGGTGCTAGATACGTTCATTTGAGGGACAAGTTTTCTCAGATGGAGGGAGTAATTGGCATGCTCATTGAGTGACCCGTCGATCTAGAAGTACTAGCTGTTCATCCAACAACGAATGTTTGTTAATTGTTAGTCGAGAACAGCAAAAGATACTGACCATGTGTCAAGTTGGTGAAATGCCCTTGGCTGTACGGCCTCGATATACCATTTCAAACACACTAATGGCAGTACGAAACAACTGCTTAGTAGTTATTTACACCCACTAATCACAAATTTGGTTTACTCCTTCGCAGCAGTGAGGACGATTTGTAGCACGCATGCAGGTAGCCGCATGATTTCGCCAAGATTTAGAAACTTGTTTTATGATTAGAGCTTAATTACTACGTAGCTTTTGGTACACTCTTTGGTAGAGATTGCATGCCACATTCCCCCCGCCTCCCATGTTTTTTTTTTCCTTTTGACTTCTATATTCCATTTGCATATTCACGTTTCTTTGACGAGGGCTTTGAACCAAACCCACTTTTAAATATGTTTTGATAAGTTTTTAAAACTTCAGCAAGTTTTGAAGCTTTCGTCAATAAGGTGTAGAACAACACTAACTATGTGAACCTAGGTAAATCATCATCGAGTCTCTCTATGGTTGCATCCCTCAACACTACTCATTACCTTCATGCCATGTCTTCCTTCCACTTGATTAATCGTTCCTCTTGTTTTAGAGTTGCGTGTTAGGCAACCTCGTTAATGCTTTAAAACCGCCGTCATTAAAATTAGAGTAAAATCTTCCAGTATATCCATTCACCCCACTCTAAACCATTACGACAACCCCCTCACACCAGCTCTCACCGTAGGTTTGAAGGTAGTTAACAGTGGTATGAGGCGAGTAGGGAAGGAAGTGTCTGAGGCCATCGTGGAGCAACGATTGGTTATGGAGGACCTTTGTGTGAAGGAGTTATTTCACATCGGGGGCATACAAAGAGAGGACAATGGCAATTTTCTATGGGGAACAGAGGGTTGTTGGTTGATCTCCAGGAGCAGAGATAAAGCATGTTCTTTTATCATTTTGAGTCTTGTAGACTTTGTGAGAAAATTTGTAAATATTTTACTAAAACTTGTTTGAAATATGGTTAATTCTTATGGGGATGCCAAAAGACCCTAAACTTAGACCGTATATTGTGTCAGGATAAACACCCTAAAAAGTTGTTGATGTGATCTTTTTATATACAAGTCAGTTTTCACCTATTTCACGTTTTTAGCAAGAGCTATTTTTAGGACATTGTTTTAGAACCCTGATAAGTGTCACACGTGTGGCATGAAGCAATTCCGCTCTGACCTTTTTGATGGCAAGTTTAGTTATAAGAGGATGGCAACTTTAGTTGTGAAGCATGACAAACTTTTTGTTTGGATGGCAAGTTTCAGTCTTTTTGGCGATTCTTTTTTCGGATGGCAACTTCTCTACTGTTACAAAAAACAGAGTTGGTGATAATGATGTGCCTGCCATCCTGCAATATATGTCATCCGATTTATATCTGACGGATAGGAAGAAAACTATGACAATTTTACAAAAAGATACCCACACTTCTCTTCACATTTGCAAATAAGTTCTTTCCTCGTTCATCCTTTTCTCCCACAAGATAAACTACTCATACAAGTGCATCTTGATGTTCCGTGCAACGCACGAGCATCTTGCTAGTTAGTATAAAAAAACGTCAGGGCGGTGTTATTTCGTGCCACACGTGTAGCACTTATCATTTGTGTTATTTTAAAGTATTTTTTAACTATTAAGATTTTTTTTGAAGTTTTTTAGGCAAATGATTTTTTTATTTTTAAGTGCTTGAGATACAAGATGCCGGGCCTCCCATTCGAACTGCAATTTTTTTTTTTGAGAAACACTGCAAATGTGTGTGTGTGGCAGCACTCGGGCAGCCTAGGCTCGGCCCATCAAAATAAGCATCGCCTCCTACGGCCCATTCAGCGCCGCCAGTCTCTCGTTTTCCCCATCCCTTGAGACGGCGCCTCCTTTGCCGGAGCACTCAGTACAGTAGACCACGGTCACGGACAGCGGCGACCTCCTTCACAGCGTCGCTTTGCCGCCGGCCGTAGAACCCTGCACAGCCGCCGTTTGGTTTCGGTTCGTCTCTCTACCTTCCGTTTTATTCGTCGGTCATGGTTTAGCCGTCGGCTTAACCATAGCGCATCTGCCCCCATGCTTCTGATTCTCCAACGCTTCAGAAACAGAATTGAATCGGGCTCTGTTGATGGGCAGCTTGCGCGCTCCGCCTCACCTCGCTGGCGGTACTAGCCTTGGTCGCGGTTACTGGCCCTGTCTTGCCTCATCCGGGATCCCCAAATCCAAAGGTGCGAGCTTTTGACTTGCGTGTGTTGTTGTTGTAGCCTTTGGTTTCTAAGCTTGTTGGATAAGATTCTCGGAATTGTAATTTGCCTACTTGGTGGTTTCAGTGCTGAGTGTTAGCTGCGCGATGAAGTCCTATAAGCTGTCTGATCTCAGTGATGCCGAGGTTAGCGGCCTCAAGGCCCGCCCTCGCATTGACTTCACCTCCATTTTCAGCACGGTAAGATAATAGTGATAGTATTCATGGTCATGGAGTTGAAATTGTTCCCTAGCCTGACATCCATGGGATTTGGATTTGTGGGATTAGGTGAATCCGATTGTTGAAGATGTGCGCGTCAGAGGTGATGCTGCGGTTAAGGAGTAAGTGTTGTGTACTATTTGATCGTTCTGTTCATGGCCTATTGCAGAGTTTTTCTTACTTTGCTGTCCATGGTCTGTGCAGTTATACAGAAAAGTTTGACAAGGTCACTCTCGATAATGCCGTGGTGCGTGTTAGCGATCTCCCAGATGCAGAGGTACTCATCTTGTGATGTGCATTTAAGTTTGGCAGTTTGTCTTGTTGATTTAACCGAAGTCACAAGCAGATAAATTTCAGGTTTTTTCTCTCCATGCACTATATTGATACATGGCTTGTTTGGTTACTTATTTCTTCAGTTGCAGCTCGCCATTCTAGGCTTTATCTACTTGCATTCAGATGCTTTCAATCCTTAGAAATCAGATGCTTTCAAATAATTATCAAAATAGTTATCAATATTTACATAGTTTTTTTAACACAGTATAGAAGCAAGTGCTCATACATACGCGCATACTCTCACCCTATGAGCACCTTCGAGAGACTGAGCCGGCATATCATCTTGAGATTTACGAAGTCACCGTAGGCGCCTCGTCATTGACGGAAACGTCTCCTCCCACTGAAAGCGCATTGCCAGCAATCCTGAAATAAATTCAGAAATAATGCGAACACCAAGACTTGAACCCTGGTGGGCTGGGGATACCATTATTCCTCTAATCATCCAACCACAGGTTGGTTCGCCCATTCATGTTCTATTGCCAACAATAATGTTTTTCCTGTGGAGGCAAAACTAAGTGACATGGACACATGAAGGAGGTGCAAATAAGATGAACGACCAACCCATTTATGTGTAACATACGGTGCTACTATATCCTGCTTGAATCTCGTTCAATCCATAAACACATGCAATCCCATCTCCAACTGAGACCACTCGACCGATCTCATCCACTTGAAAATTCGTGTAAAAGTTGGTCATTCTACTTTCTAATAGAGTCGTGAGTTCCGCAGCTCTGGGTGAGAATTCCATACTTTAACAAATTAGATGGATGATATTTTGAAGGGAGAAATCCTCACTTATTAGTGTCTTTTGTAGCCATGTTATAAGTCCCCTTAGTTTTTCACCTAGCTCGATGAATGTATGTATTCATAGGGAATTTGTATTATAAGTCTTGAGGAAGAGACGAATATGCAAATCGAAACTTCACAGGGTCAAATTATAGGGGACAAACATCCAAGTCGCAACATTGAATGTCCAAATCAGCTTTTTTTTGTTAAGAAACACAGCACATGTCTACACAAAAAGGAAACGACTAAATATAATAAAAATTGCTGGTAGTATTTTAATATGCCACGATGCTTCTTTGTTTCTCAATTATTATCATAAAAAATAAATAAAAGGACATCAAACTAAAATAGTATTTATAATAGACTCAAGGGATCATCGCTATCTTTTAGCAATTCATGCTCTTGGTTTCCCTCTCCTTTTCCCCTTCTTTGCTTCCCGGGCCTTCCGCTCCTCCTCTTTCCTCAAATGCTCCTCTTCAGTCTTCCGAAATTCAAGAAACTGGAATACGCACTTCAGAAAGTGGCAAAGTCGGCATACCTATTTCCCAGTATCGACGTTAAACTGCTGTAGATATAAAGGTTGTACAGACATTGCTCATTCGGAATAAGGAATATTAATGAAATATTGAGTACTAATTGTAATTCTACTACCACAAATTATATATATTATTTTTATAAAATTTGTTAAACTCTATATATCATAGGTGCAATGTCACAGGCAAGGTTTTGAGATCATTTTTGTAGTTAGAAACTTACGCTTCAAATCTTTACGAGGTTAGTAAGCAAAAGTTAGCTGTCGCAGTGTCCTCATTTCTCTTGGGCCAATCAAAATGCTTCAATACTGCACCCTGATCCACCTTCCAATAATGCAACTAAATGAAAAAAAAGATGTTAAATAATAAAAGCTTCATATTCTATAAAATCTGCCCATTCTCGCATGGTTCAGGTAACTACAACATGCACACATGAACACGGCCGCGAAATTAGCAAGTTGCAACCTACAATCATGTACTCTTCTCACTTACTCCACTCATACATATACTCCATAGAGACTGGCAAGTACCAGCTACAACATCAATGGAAGGGAACCATGCAAGTGAAAGAATATAGGATGATATAGCTGTTATCACCGAATTAAACATGAATCGCTACCATAGAGATTGGCAAGTACCAGCTACAACATCAACGGAAGGGAACCATGCAAGTGAAAGAATATAGGATGATATAGCTGTTATCACCGAATTAAACATGAATCACTAAATATATGATGCTATAGCTGCAACATTGGTTCTACTGGATTCCATTCAGGTGTATGCTCCCTGAATCGGTGGAACTTGCACGGCATCCTGCCCATCCACAGAAGAGAAGGGGGTAAAAATATAGATGCATGCTTGTACTCAATTCAAAGAGGGGGCAAAAATACTTCTGATCCATGGCCCGTCCGGAAAGGAGAGAGTATCATTACCATTTGGGAGTCGGGGATTAGGTGGCGACTCATGCGCCCGTGGAGGCTGCAGGTCTCCGGCGCATCTCCGACGGCCGAGGCTCATGTGCTGTGGCGGCGGCAGGTGTCTCACGCGTCTCCGGCGAGGGCGTGCGCGACCGGATGCCAGCTGGAGCAGCATAGGCAGGCCGTGAAGGCAGCGGCTGTAAGAATAGCTGGGCACCACGGAAGCAACAGAGGTGCGGCGGCGGTGTGGCGGGCTCATAGTCATCGTCATGTGCGACAGACTTTCCGCCTTCTTGGCCGGCGGCTTCTCCATGGTGGTGCAGCAGCGTCATCTTGCAGCAGGAAGTACTCGTCGTCGTCAATGGACTCCTCATCGCAACAATAAAACTCATTCTTTCTGCAATTTGTACAAATGAAGTTCAGAGGAAAAATCGCAAACAAGCCATCACCTGTGTTTGGCATACCATAAAACAAGTGCAGAGTAACCTCATCCAAAACATATGTGTTCTTTCTTCAGTGCGACCACATGAACCAGCGCAATTTATTTGAGTTGTCGCCACATCTTGCGAGGAGCTCCCCACAGGCCGCAGGCCCCATGGATGAGAACGCTATGCTTGCTGCACACAACCGCAAGATGGTCTCCACCGAGCAACAAATCATGTAGTCACTGAAGCAGGCAAACAAGTCAAAGTAGATAAAACCATAGAGTAACCACGATATGCGTTTCCAATTCCAAATAACCGTATTCGTAGATTAGAAACAGCAATTCTGGATTGAATCCAATAGACGGAGACTGAATCAGGCCCGACCTCTGTTTTTTCTTGCGTCTGCACAGGGCGCCCGAGTACCTACATTTAGGTGATCAGAACTGTATACAACGTTGGTAATCAGTTGACTAATATATTAATTACGTACAGGCTGCAGCTTCCTGGGTGTGCATCGGTCGTGCGGAGGTGGCCAATGGCCATAACGCGAGGATCGTGACGGACCCACGGCCAAAAATACGGGCTATCCGGTTCAATTAGTACCTTTGCGTTGTCTAGGGCTAGGCCATGGCGTGAAGCTCCATAGGCACCTGTACTGGCATGAATGTGAATGGCGAGAAGAGGAAACTTACTGGATTCTCTAGCTCATGGATCAGATTGGCGGCCACGGGCGTGATGATAGAAGGGTTAGAGGAGGAGCCGGCGGCGGCGGCGGCCTGCTTGTGTCCATCAGAGGAGGAGCAGGGGGCGGCGGTGGCCTGCTTGTGTCCATCAGAGGAGGAGCGGCGGGCGCCGGCGGCCCATGACACTGAAACGGACTCCACGCTGCTTGCGGCAGCAATACGCGATGGCGATGGCGCAACGTTACGGTGCAGTGCCGCGAGGTCGGCGTGCAGGCAGGATATGGTGTTGGTGGGCGGCGTCGAGGTTAAGGTTGATGGGAGCCGATTTCGTATAGTTTCCTTAGTTTCCGATGAGAACCGCGTGATTATAGGAGATGGACGCGGGACTGGTATTTCTCTGTTGGTGGATGGATCGTGGAGGTGAAGCACGGTCAGTCATGCAAATTTGCTAAGTCCACACCGCAAAGACATTGGATCAATGATGGCTGTTAGATTTAGATTTGTGGGACTAATCATGTGGTGCTGATCGGTTCGCGCGGTGTTGTGGGCCAATTTGCTGGGTGCACGTAAGAAAATTCTTGTTTGATTGTTTAATAGTAGTAGAGATATTTTGTGTCCAGATTCAGATGGTCCTCAAATAGTTTCTTTTTCATCTGCTAGATGATTTTGGCTGTCTTACCTTCATCAAATTTGTAGCTTGATCCAGCTGTTAAGGAAGCCTTTGATGTGGCGTATGACAATATTTATGCCTTCCATGTTTCACAAAAGTCGCCAGAAAAGACAGTTGAGAATATGAAAGTAAGAGAATGCTTTGATGCCCCCATTTACGTTATGGTCTTTCTATATGCTTATGCTTATTTATTTGTGCACTTCCGAATGTATGAAGGGTGTGAGATGTAAAAGGATAACAAGATGCATTGGTTCTGTCGGGCTGTATGTTCCAGGGGGCACTGCAGTCTTGCCTTCAACTGCATTGATGCTTGCTGTGGTATGCTCATGTTTATTCAAATTCTCTAAACTAAGTTACCTGCAGTTATTCGTTCTTTTGAATTTCTCATGTGGATTCTCTTTTTTAACAGCCTGCACAGATTGCTGGATGCAAAACTGTAGTTCTTGCCACACCCCCTAGTCGTGATGGTAGCACATGTAAGGTATGCTTTGTGGGACATGGAAATGCTGCTGTTTTTGTAAGGTGAAATTGAGGAAATCTGAACATTATTCCTATTTCGTGCAGGAGGTTCTTTACTGTGCCAAAAAAGCTGGTGTTACACACATACTAAAAGCTGGGGGAGCTCAGGTAGAAGGATATTTTGAGATATTGCTTGCTTCTATGTAGTTCAATGTTATCAATGTCCTTTCTTTTTTTAAATGTTCTTTACTTTCAGGCAATCTCCGCTATGGCATGGGGAACTGCATCATGCCCAAAGGTGCTCAAGATCTATACCACTATGATTTACTTGTTCAAAATCAGTAGGGGCATTTTCTGTCTTTATCACGTAACTTGTACAATGTTGTATTGACATGCACTTGTTAAAGGACTGTAAAATTGAGTTAAGCACTTATGTGGAGTCAGGTCATGCTCTTAGCAGCTCATAACCTGTTCCAAATGTCTATGAAAATATAGGCGTGTGCACTCGTTAGATGCAACGATTGTTTCTCATTTGCCATCTTTTGTTACTCGCTTGACAGGTTGAGAAAATATTTGGTCCCGGCAACCAGTATGTCACAGCTGCTAAAATGATTCTTCAGGTCTATTCTGTTCTTTCTGTGTAAATCATGACCAGTATCTGCTCGGCATGTTCTCTGTGTGCATTCCTTTCTGTGGTTCTTATTCTTATTTGACTGCAGAACAGCGAAGCTATGGTCTCTATAGACATGCCTGCTGGCCCTTCAGAAGTTCTGGTAATTGCTGACAAGTATGCCAACCCAGTTCATGTTGCCGCTGATCTGCTATCTCAGGTATGTTCTCGTCCTGTTAGTCTGCTCTGTAATGCCAAGAGTATATGTTGAATTGACTATTGTCCACTATTTTTGATATCAAACTTGAGGATAACAGATAAAGATAGGATAATATTGATGTTCACCAAGCATTTCCATGTATGTTAGATCACAGTTGTTTGGTCTATCTTGTAGGCAGAACATGGCCCAGATAGTCAGGTTGTTCTAGTTATTGCGGGAGATGGTGTTGATTTAGGTGCCATTGAAGCAGAAGTTAGCAAGCAGTGTGATGCTCTTCCTAGAGGAGACTTTGCTTCCAAAGCACTTGGCCACAGTTTCACTGTGTTTGCCAGAGATATGGTTGAGGTAATTATTCGTTCATGTCATTCCTTACTATACCGCCTGCGCCTGGTTCAACAATGCCGCTTGCTTGCGATGCAAAAAATATATTGTTTTGTCGCCTTTGTCCTTAGATGCTTCTAAAAGGAGTACACTATCAGTATGCATAGTAGAAATTTGAAGTCGTGAATTAAGAACCATCTGGTTACTTCCTGTTTGCCCCCCTTTTCAGGCATTATCTTTCTCAAATATGTATGCTCCTGAGCATTTGATCATCAATGTAAAGGACGCTGAGCAATGGGAGGAGCTCATTGAGAATGCAGGTAGGCATGGCTACCATAGCTTAGTTGCAGCCAAACACATCTTGATTCGTATCCCACTCTCCTTGCATGCTTCGACCTGCTCAATGTTTGTTCTTCCAACTACAGGGTCAGTTTTCCTGGGACAATGGACCCCCGAGAGCGTCGGTGACTATGCCAGTGGGACGAACCACGTCCTCCCAACCTACGGTTACGCGAGGATGTACAGCGGTGTGTCGCTGAACTCTTTCCTCAAGTACATCACTGTTCAATCCCTGACTGAAGAAGGGCTGAGGAGGCTGGGCCCCTATGTCGCAAAGATGGCAGAAGTCGAAGGGCTAGAAGCGCACAAGCGAGCTGTTACACTCAGATTGCAAGAGATCGAAGCCACTGTAACCGTGTAAACTGTTAACTTGGTCGGTTGTACCTGCCCATTTGATGCTTGGGGGCTGATATTTTTCTTCATTTTTATCGGATGGGACTTGCCAGAGTTTAAGGTGAAGAATACGAAGCTGTTTCATGGAGTAATGCTACTTATGTCGATCTGTTAAATGAATAAACTTGTGAGCATAGTTTGTTGAGACAAGTCCATTTTTTAGAATAACAGTGAGGCCCTCCCCAGTTCCATTACTCGGATGAAACCAAAGTCATACGACAGCTCTCTTAGAGGAGCAGTTCAACATAAAAGCAGGGAAAGCTCACTTAGAGGAGCAGTTTCTGATTCAAAATTAAAAGCAAAACTATCGATAGGTGGCAGGGCAGGCCAAACAGAGAAGAAGCAGCTCATAGCTAGCCATACAGATGGACTCCAGGTCAGCCCTTCTGGTCATCAATGGTGGCACGCACACAGCCTGAGGTGAACGAAGACGGCGAGTGTAGACACCGGACTAGCCACCGCGGCCTTGCCTCCCGATTCCCTTTCCTTCATCGGCGATCGGAAACAGGCTTCATCATCAGAGATCCTGGGAGTAGAAATCCCAGGGTTGCCTTGCTGTAGCATCATCAGCCACCTAGGATCAACAGGGTCTCTGGATGAATTTTGTTAGGGCTTCTGTGAAGTCCGCCGGCCTCACTCTGCTTTGTTCCGGAGATATGGTTGCCCAGAAACTGACAGTTCTTTAGGATCAATCTTAACAACTGATCAACAGAGATCCATCTGGTGTTGTAAAAAATCTTAGAGTTCCTATAATTTCCACAGACACCAAACCACGAAAGAATTGATAGTATTCAATGCAGTATTTTTGTCATTCGAGACCCAGAATCTAGCTATAGATTCAAAATCAGTCCCAACAGGCAACAGGGGCTTTGAAATGGTCTCTAACAAAAGACCAAATGTTTCTAGCAACTACACAATCAAAAAAATTAATGGAATGCAGATTCATTCCTGTGCAGAAAACACAGTCCAGAGGTTTAATTATGCGCCTCTTCCTAAGGTTATCTCTAGTCATCAACTTGTTGTGGGAAAGCAGCGAAAAGAAAACATGAATCTTAGGAGGAACTTTTAGTTTCCACACAGCGGGTACAAAAACTGGTTGCATCCCTCTAAAGTTGATAACTTAGTACAGTGAGCTAGTTGAATACTGTCCCTTACTCTCTAATTGCCAAACTAGAGAATCGGGATCTTTAGAGAAGACAATGCTACCAACAATCTCTACTAGTTGGTACCATTGTTCCTTAAGTTTGCCGTCCAAGATCCTCTTGAAGGAAAGCTTCCCTTAGTTGTTGACCATCCCAAATCTCACTAATGCATTTTGTTTGTTCATTACAAATGGTATAAACAGGCCAAAATCGCACAGCTAGAGGGAGGTCCCAAACCGGGTGTCCTCCCAGAATATAGTATAATTCCCATTACAACATCTACAATGCGGACCCTCAAACGTGTAGTATCCGCCCGGACCCCGAAAGCCATGCAACACTGACCCCCAGCCATCCGCGGAGCGGTCTGGACTGCGATTTTCTCGCGAACCGGAACCAAACATGGAGGGGCTACGCGGGAGTCCGGACACAAGACACGTCGGACTCTGACACCCCTGCCCACCCATAAGGAAAGCGGAGCCCACTCTTTTTGTAGCTGCCCACCCTGTTTCCGCGATAGAATCCTCACTCTCTTCTTCCGACCCACCGCTCTACACCCAATTCCCGCCCATATCTCCCACTCTCTTCTTCCCTCCTGCCGCCGATGCATGGAACTGGAGGCTAGCCTGCCGAAGATGGAGGTGGCGGAGGTGTTGGAGGATCCGAGCATCACTCTTGCCCGGAAGATCAACTCCGCGACACGGAAAAATCATCGTCAAAGCGAAGGCCAGAAACAAGGAAACGCTCAAGAAGCAGAAGGCCAGCGGAGGGCGTGCTGGTGGCAGACGTGGCGATGGGCATGCTGGTCGCGGACGAGGTGGAAGTCGTGGCCTGGGCCACGACGCCCTGATAGTGTCGCCCACCGTACAGTCGCCGCCATGGCCGGTGCATTACAAGGCTCTGTACTTCTAAGGTGCCAAGCAACTCGGTAGGCAGTCCACGACATCCTCCAACGGGCATGTGCCTTACATTGTCGATGTAAACGAGGCGCCGCTGCTCTTCTCGGAGTGTTCTTCGCCGCAGCTTGTCCTGGCGCGGACAGCGGGGGAGGAGCAGATGGTGCCCGCACACTGTTCGTTGCTATGCCTAAAGCGGGGGAGCCGGTGTACGAAAACGCGGACAGGGAGATGTTCGACATCATCCACGACGGAGGCGGAGGATCAGGTGGCTATGGGGACGAGCAGGTGGAAGACTCGGATCCCACCCTGTCCGGTAACTACACCCACACGTAGCAGGGGTACACCCAGACTGGCACGCATCAGGACTACACCTAGACCAGCACGGGCACACATCAACAGGATTGGGCCGACGGACAACAAGAGGAGGACGGCGAGGACGATGATCCGAATGATTTTGCCAGTGATCCGAAGAAGGGTAGAGGAGAAAGCTTCAACATGCGGGATGACGAGCTATTGTTGGCCACTAGCCTCAATCCGATTCATGGCACGGATCAAAAGGGCACAATATTTTAGGCCAACATTCACATATGGTTCCATGGACACAAGCATTTCACCCCTACCCCGACGTGGTCATACGCACCCGTGAATCAAAGTCCCTCAACCATAGATGGTACACCATCCAAAAGGCCGTCTCAAAGTATAGCGGCCACTTGAAGCATCTCATTGCACGGTGGCCTAGTGGTGCGCAAATCACCGAGCAAGTAAGTTCATTTGGCCAAATATGTTTAGCTTCATAGCCTGATATGCATAGTTTTGTTGATCACTAGTCGGATATGCATAGTATTCTAGCCGGATATGCATATTTTGTTGGCCACTTGCCGGATATGCGTAGTTTTGTTGATCACTGGCCGGATATGCGTAATTTTGTTGATCACTCACCGGAAATGCATTGTTTTGTTAATCATTGGTCAGATATGCATAGTTTTATTGATCATTGGCCGGATATGCATAGTTTTGTTGGTCACTTCCTGGATAAGCTTAGTTTTGTTGATTAGTTCCCGGATATGCACGTTTTTGTAGTCAGATATCTATGCATAGTTGTTGACAATGTTTTATTTTGTAGTCTTTTCGTGTGTGTACGGTGTTCAAGAAGTTGGAGAAGAAAAACTTCACTGTCATGCATTGTTAGTTGAAGTTGAATGGGCAACCAAAGTGGAACCAACACATAGCTCAGACCGCCGCCCAAACCACCGAGGAAGAAACCGATGACCCAACCGATCCAACAAAAGAATAGTCCAAGAAGGTTAGAAGAGGTTTTCGGGGAAAGAAATGGGAGGAGGGTGAAACCAGAAGGTAGGGTATCCAAGATGACGAAGAGGTTGGACGACATCTTGTCGAAGAAGAAGGAGGCATATGTCAAGCGCTCCGACATCAAGGAGTTGAAAAAGGCGAAGAGGTTCAAATTGTTAATGAAGGTGACCAAGAAGAAGCTCAAGCTCGAAGATAAGAAGGCCATGCTCAAAGAAAAGAGGGCAATGCTCGAAGGGAAGAATATGAAGATCGAAGCCGACGCAGAGGACGCCAAGATGTTGACCTTGAATTTATAGGCTTTGGATGCTGACACAAGAATGATCGTGCAAGTCGTCCACTACAAGATGTTGTAGCGACAGAAAGATGAGTTGGAGGCGACAGACAAGGAGGAGATGGAAGCGGCGGAGAACGAGGCGGAGGTTCCCTACACGGCGGTGACGACACCTTGAGCATGGAGACTCGGATTGCCGGTCCGACAAGGCAGATTTTTTTTGCACGGAGTGCCGGACCGATAATATCTTGTGATCGGGCATGTAAAAACTAGGCATACTTGCCTATTTTTAGTTGTGATCGGGCATGTGATCTGGTGTGCGCCATGGATTGGATTTTATTTGAATTTCAAATTGCCCTTTGCCGAAGAACATATACAGAAAAAGTTTGGATGGCCAGCTCCCGCGTCAATGTCCGCGGACTGGTCCCATGTCCATGAACGGATTACGGAGCCAATTTAAGGATCAATGTTGGAGATGCCCTTACCTACTTTCCATCTATACCCAAATTTAAGCACTTGATTTTTTTTTGAACACAAGGAAGGCGCCATCAAGCGCCACAATTTCATTCAACTCATAGACAATGTACAACATGAATTACATAGCCCTGAACTTGAAAATTGAGAAGGGACTGCAGAAAAGGGCAGGGTACATTGGCATGAGAAGAACGTGAACAACTAAAGACAGGTTCTACTCTCGAGTTGAGAACCCGATGAGCACAATTGTGAGCAATTCCATTGGTATTCCTAGAGATGTGATAAACAACATTAAGAGAATGGGAGATTTGAAAGAACTCTCTAATTGGTTGTCTGCACCTCCAGCTGATGTTGGTGTTATTGATATCTCTTGAAGCAGCCATCTTTGCTAATGAAAGATTGTCAGTGAGAAAAGAACCTTGCTGAAGTTGAAGCCTGCAAGAGATTTTAGCAGCAAATAGAAGTGCATAAACTTCAGCAATAAGAGGTGAACAAACATCATGAGTAGAGGCTTGAATCATTATTCTTGAATCAGAACCCTCTTTGGGGAAGAGGATGTGAACACCAATACCAGTAGCCGGATTACCACCATACCCAGGCACATTCTTCTTATGCCAAGAAGCATCTGAATATATTTTGGTACCTGAAATAGCCAAGTCAGATTTGAGGGTGGAGCCTTGCTGTACTTGTTCTTGCCCTTGAGAGAGTATGGTTGTAGATTGCTTCTCCTTCGAAGAAGGCAGCTCCCTATTTAGGTGTTCTTGGGGATCTTGCATATCTTGGACAGAGGCGATGGCTAGAGAAGCTTGGTGAACCTGATGGGGATGTGATTCTTTCCTACAAAAAAGAACATCGTTTCTTGCTTTCCACAAAC